TATCTAAACATAATAATAAACATAATAAATTTCAATCGAGTAGATAGATACATTTTAATTGTTAGCTAAATCTTTCGAAATTTTTTTAAATAAAAAAAGTTGGGGCTCGGGGATTTTTCGGTCCGGGCCGGAATTTTCAACCCAACTTGCACCCTATCAAAAACAAAAAACAATGGGAAATTGCCACGATAACCAAAGGACAACGTGGTCTTGTCATAGATCTCCGTCCAGAAGTTTCCAAGAACGCTTCGGTCTGCGCCTGCCGAAGGCATGGGATATTTGGGTTTCATTATCCACTTTCACAATTTAGTCCACCCAGCTTCACCTCTCTCTCTCCCTCTCTCTGAAAAACCAAGAAAAAGAGAAAATAAATGGCGAAGGGGCGCAGAGTGCTGATGGTATTGGGTGACTACGTCGAAGACTATGAGGCGATGGTCCCCTTTCAAGCTTTGCAGGCATTCGGAGTCTCCGTCGACGCCGTCTGTCCTGCCAAGAAGTCCGGTGATATCTGCCGCACTGCCATTCATGAACTTTCTCCTGCTCACCAGGTGACCTCACCTCTCTGCTTTTCATAGTCAATTAGTCATACTATACTCTCAATTCCCGATTGGTCCCTTTCTACTTTGTAATCAAAGCACGATCAATTAGATAAAAGATTTTATTGTATTGATTCTCTTTTGATACAACTTGTATGGGGAGGAGGGACCGAACTCGGGGGCAATGGTTGAAAGTTATGAACCAACTGAGCTACAAGTTGCTTGCTTTAGATAGAATGATTACTTAACTTGAATTTGTAAAACCCAAACAAGGTATTTGCCCCAAAGATTGGAATGGTTACAACTCTCACATTAATTTGGTTTGGTAGAGTTTGTCAACCAATGAACTGTAGCCCTAATTTATAGACAAGAGGGGGAAAGTTTATTATTCAGTAGATTCACTCTATCAGTTTGACAAATTTCAAGATGTAGCATTTATATTAGGTCGCATAATTTCTGATACCGAATTTATTTGGCGTGGTAGAAATCAAATGCAAACATCTACCCAGTTGAGACTGTGGAATTCTCACTAACAACTTGATGCTAGTTTGTGTGGAAGGGAGCAAAAACCAGGAGGTTTGTTAGAGTGTTTGCTCACTCGTTATGAGCTCCTTAACTGACCTGTAAATAGGTCGTGTTCAGGGGACAGATAGCCTGAACAAATTCTTGGCACGATCACTTGCTACACTTGTACCTAGGTTTTCTGTATCATGATATGCTTTTCACTTGTACTGTATGCACAATTACAAATCTCAAAAGCTATATGTATTTCTATACCCTTTGTTTTAATATGCTTTTTGGGGGTAAATGTGTTTTTGCTCTTGGTTGCAGACTTATTCTGAATCACGGGGTCACAATTTTACACTCAATGCTTCATTTGATGACATTGAGTTTAACAAGTATGATGGATTAATAATACCAGGAGGACGGGCACCTGAATATCTTGCTTTGGATGCGTCAGTTGTAGAATTGGTGAAACAATTTTCTGACTCTGGAAAGCCAATTGCTTCTATTTGCCACGGGCAACTGATCCTAGCAGCAGCAGGCTCAGTTAAAGGTCGGAAGTGTACAGCGTTCCCTCCTGTCAAACCAGTACTCGTTGCTGCAGGTGCTTACTGGGTGGAGCCCGAGACCATGTCCGCTTGTGTTGTTGATGGTAATATAATTACCGGGGCCACGTACGATGCCCATCCTGAGTTCATTAGGCTATTTGTTAAGGCATTGGGAGGAATCATAACTGGTTCAGATAGGAGGATCCTTTTTCTCTGTGGAGTAAGTTCTATTTTCATTTGAAATGCAATGAGAAATATAAGTTTGTGATTGCTTATAAATATATAAGAACGTGAAATTGACTTTACAGTATTTATGTTTTGACGTACTTTGTTTATGACAAATGTTATGGTGAAGTCAAATCTTAAGCTGAAACAAAATAATTTACGAACATGAATAGGTGGAATGGTGTATGTTCTCTTGAAAGTGTGAAACTGATTAATTTCTTTGTTTGTGCATATGCATGAATGGGAATAACGATAAACTTAAAATATGATAATTGATGGAACCATCCCTTGACAATTTATTTCGAAAAAGAAAGGGGAGAAACCTGGGTAGGCTTTACCACATTGTCCACAATTTTGGTGTTGGGTTTCATCAAGCATTCCTATTTGTGTAATGTATGCTGCTTTGCCTGTTGCCTGTATGCTTCAGTGCTCTGCCTATTTGGGTTGTGCTTCACATTAGAAGACTAATGTTTTGCAGGTCAATGTGTGAATTGTGAAAGTAAAACCAAACATGTATACTAACCACTTTTCAGGTCATTTGCATGAATTATGGATATGGAACATGTTAGGTAGTGAAGTCAATGGCTTATGAACTTAAATAACTCCTTTTACTTTAGTTAAGAGACTACTCCAGAATTTCAAAGTTCAGTTATTTTGAATGCATAACTTAGAGAATCTTCTCCCTTGCTTATTTCTGTACTGTTGAATTCTTTTTCATCCCCTCTTCATCACTGAAATTCCAGACTTTTCCCATATCCCGAGACAATAATTAGCTCTCCAAATTCCAGACGCAACCCCTTTGTTGCTGTCAAATGTCATACAACCAAATTTCTTGAAACCAGTCCGTTAGTTACCCTTTTAAAACAAATCTTTCAGAGCCTACCTAAACTTTTCCACTTACAATGCCAAAAGTTAGAATGCAACAAAACATACCTTAGCCCACCATGTATGCTTTAATAGGATGGTTATCTAACCTCTCCTGCATCAAATTAGTTCTTTTACTTGTTATTCAGAATCAAACTTACTGATTGTTTAACAGTGATAAGATGGTCAATAAATCAAGATTGACTCCTTTGCATTCGCGTTTTGAAAAGAAATTAAAGGGGTTTGTCATTTTTTTATGAGCTAATTCTTATGTATGTATTGTTCTAGGCAATGATCAAAATGTTAGATTTCTCATTTACTAATCACTTTCTCTCTTCAATATTTGTAGGACTTTATGGAGGATTATGAGGTAACTGTGCCCTTTCAGTCCCTTCAAGCTCTTGGATGCCATGTTGATGCAGTTTGCCCGAAGAAGAAAGCTGGTGATATCTGTGCAACTGCTGTCCATGATTTTGAAGGCGACCAAACCTACAGTGAGAAACTGGGCCATAATTTTACTTTAACAGCTGATTTTGAAGCTCTAGATGTCTCAAGTTACAATGCGCTTGTAATCCCTGGAGGTCGAGCTCCTGAATATTTGGCATTGGATGAGAAAGTTATTGCATTAGTGAAGCAAATTGTTGAAGCCAGGAAACCAGTTGCGTCCATCTGCCATGGGCAGCAGATTTTAGCTGCTGCTGGTGTTCTGCAGGTATGGTTACTGACATAATCATTTAAGAGCAATTCCCAATTAGTACCTCTCTTCCTTCAGCAAGGCGCCTTTTTCCTTAAGTTTGATCCAAATTTCATTTTGGTTCATATTTTTAAAGTTTTTCAATCAAATTCGATTATTTCCTTCTCTGATTAAATCATGTGCGGCTGTCAACCATAGTAATGTTTTTGTTACAACTTTCATGGATATTTCGGTCATTCCTTATGATGCAACCAAAGGAGTTCCTCCAATAATTTGGTTCAACTTGAAACAAAGTGAAGCTGTAATCCCTGTTTAGGTAGCTTTATTATTTTATTGCTTCTGCGGCTCATTTTTTAATATGGGATATGGGTTTTTGGGGATGAGTTCCTGGCTGTTTTATTGGGATCAATCCCATTACTGAATACGAATGCAATAACATAAAGTTTCACAAACAATGACGCAAAATTCTTTAAGAATCCAAAATCAATTTTAAGCATATTAAAATTGTAAATTTTGAAATTTCAAATTCAAAAGTAGATATACAAATACAGTGTACATTTCTGTGTTTAGCTTAGCTTTTTGCTTTTTCTGAAAAATAATAGTTTAAGTTCTAGTCTCCTGTTAGATATGTCAATGCTTAATGAAAAAGAAAAAGTAGATGTTCTGTACGTGTGGTCGTGTACATTTACATTGTAGAAAAATGTAAAAGGTAACGGAAACTATGTATGCCCAAAACAGATTAGAGTTCAGATCTCTAGATCAGTAACTTAAAAGATGTTCATGAACTGTACCCAAAGTGGGCCTTGAGGCGGCAGCAAAACACCATAGGTTTAGTTTAGCAAAACAAATTATATGGGAATATTTTTTTTTGCTTTAGCATCGATTTGAATTCTTGAACCTATTATCTGCCTAGTTCATCCTGAATGAATGTTTGTTCTGACTTCTGATGGATGTGCCGATGTGATTAAGCTAGAAAGTTTCGTGTTTTTGCTTTTTGTTTGTGAGGTAACTGTGCCCCTTCAATCACTTTTTGGACACGTTGTAAGTGTTTATAAATGGCTACGTTTCAGGGAAAGAAATGTACTGCATACCCTGCGGTGAAGCTTAATGTGGTTCTTTCGGGAGGCACATGGCTGGAACCTGATCCAATAGATCGTTGCTTCACGGATGGAAATTTGGTTACTGGAGCAGCGTGGCCAGGCCACCCAGAGTTCATTTCTCAGTTGATGACATTGCTTGATGTTCAAGTATCATTCTAGCTCCATTTACCAGGTCAACCGCTTGCGTGAGTTATGTTTAACTATTATTCTGAAATAATAAGAGGTGTATGCTATGTTCGACCAGCGAAAGGCGACATGTATGTTATGTCTAAGTTGATGTCTGTATCTACGAGGGCGTACTCTTTCTTTGATCTATATATGCCGTATTTCCATGTAACTTCTTTCCTTCGATGGTTGCACATCTAACCGTGAAAAAAGCTCAGCCGCTCCATCTTTTGTTCCTATCGTCAAGCATATATATGTGTGTGTATATGTATAGAATGTTCTCTAACACAGTTAACCTCACTTTGGCCGATTGCCTGGTATCCCCAAGTGCGGTTAGCCGAATCATAGAAAACGTCGATATGTACGTACATGTGTGGGTGTATTATGGTCGAAGTCTCCGGAAGTACTGACTGGAGTGGACTGGACATGCGAAGAAAATTGGCATTGTTGTAACCCCAAATGGCCAATCTGTCGTTTGTGTGGACCACAGATTGCGGAAGGAAATCCAGAGCCATGACATCGACCAATCACTATGCTTTTAGCATGACCTATATTATACTCTCTCTCTTTCAACTATGATTTCTCGACAACTAGCTTGGAAGCATTGAGCTCCAAGCACCAACAACAAAGTTTTCTGTAAGACGTCGAATTTAATGGTCGGAAAACAGAGTGAAGATGCCCCGATGAGCGTGACGTGTTCTGCTATTTGTTGCTCAAATCTACGATGTGTTTAGTAAGCAAGCAAAGCATTGGCAGCTCAAGTGTATATGCCATATACGAGTTTCCATCTCTTCTTCAATCATCCTCCATTACCCCTTTACAGCCTCAGAGTTGAATCCACCGAATTCGCTTGGATTTCTCTCTGGAAAAGAAAAACCAAGCAAGAAAAGTAAGAAACTAAGAAACGGGGAATTGAAAAGGAGAGCAGAGGAGGGTTGTGTTGCTGTGCGGCGACTGCATGGAAGAGTATGAGGTGGTGGTCCGGTTTCAAGCATTGCAGGCGTTTGGAGTGTCCGTAGATGCGGTCTGCCCTGGCAAGAAATCTGGTGACATCTGCCCCACCGCCATTCATCAACATTCTACTTCTCAGTTTCTCACCAGGTCAATCAACCACCTCTGTTCTGCAGTCTTTACTTCTATTAATTCATTTATTTGGAAGAAAGAAACTGAGTGCTAGTTTTCCCGCTCTTTTAGGAAAAAAATTAGCAAAAATTACTATGTATTTTTGCAATTTCACACTGAATGCAACATTTGATGACACAGATTTTAAATACTACGATGGACTAGTAATATCAGGAGGGCGATCTCCTGAGTATCTTGCTGTGGATGCATACGTTGTAGAATTGGTGAGAAAGTTTTCCGACTCCAAAAAGCCAATTGCTTCTACTTGTCATGGCAGCTGCAGACTCGATTAGAGGGCGGAAGTGCACAGGGTTTCCGCCTGTGAGACCTGTATTGGTTGCTACTGGGGCTCACTGGGTAGAACCCGAGGTCATGTCGTCTGTTGTTGACGGTGATATAGTTTCTGGGGTTACGTATGAAGGTAATCCCAAGTTCATTAGGCTTTTTGTGAAGGTACTAGGAGGCAATATAACTGGTTCGGATAGAAGGATCCTGTTTCTCTGTGGGGTATCATTTGTTAATCTTTAACGTCCTAAGTTAAAACCGTAACATTATGCTTCACGTTATTTGTATGTAGGACTTCGGGGAAACCAGTTGCATCCCTATGCCATGGGCCGCAGATTTAAGCTGCAGCTGGTGTTTCTGCAGGTATGGTTATTGGCATAAGCTTTTGTTTAAGAAGCTGTTTATGCCTAACTTTGCACTATCGGCCCTTGTAATCATTCTTGAGCTTAATATTTTTCCTAGATATTACTACCAGTCTTAATTATTCTTAATTATTGTAGTAATTGTCTTGGAGAAATATATTATGAGCTTAGAGATGAGGACAAAACCGAGAGGAGTTGTTCAATAAGAATATAGACTAATCGTCAGCAAAACTTCTCACAAACTTTCTGTGAAACACTAATTGCTTGACTAATCGTCAGCACGAATCATGTTTGGTTAGACAGTGGGGTTGGCAGTTGACGGACGACGACTGTCTAGTTAGACGTGGAGTCTCTCAAGTTTGACTGGCTATCTATCTTTAAGTCTCAGCCGACAAAGAGTCCTTGATTCTTTCACCGAAAGAGGTCCCTTCATCAACTTTCCTCGGCTAAGTGGAGTGTTCTATGATCAGATATTCCAGGTTACATTCAAAATTTGGCATTCAGATGGCTAAACTACTTTTATGGTACATTTTGATACCGAGTTGGCGAAGCTATGTTTTCACAAATATAGTTGAGGCTGTCGAACCTGAGGCAAAAGGCCCAGAACTTCATGCTAATTTGCATAACCTTGTCTTTAGGTTATAGAACCCAAGGCGGAGAGTGTTCTTTCCTCGGCTGAAGTCACTTGTTATAGGAATCAACAGCGCATTTCACCACACTACCACATTCAAAGGTATTCACCCAACTATGCTAGGTAGGAAATTGGCACGCCCGCATCAGCAATCAAGCCATCGAAGGAAGTAGATAACTCTTAATTGATAGTCCTGCTCGCCACGTAAATTATGTAATTTTTAGGACTAACAAAAGAAATTTCCCCATAAGCAACTAGACTTTTGTTTCCTAAAATTTGATAAAAAATTATGTTTCTTTTGATTAGTGGTTAATGTAGTATCGTCTGTTATGCTAAAAAAGTCTACTCTTTAGCATCAGAGGTTGGTCCATCCTACTAATGAAGTATTGTCTGTTATGGTAAAGAAGTCTCACATAAGTCCTGTAGTAGATAAACAATGTAATTTTTTTTTCTGATTTGATCAATGGGAAGATGTCTAGACTAGCTTTTCCTACTTAATCTACTAGATGTTTAGTACCATTTGAAGGGATTCATATTGATATTTGGGGTCCTCCAGTAAAATCCATCCAAGGGTTTAGGTATTATGTAAGCTTTGTGGATGATTGTACCAAGTTTGTATGGATCTTTCCCTTATGCAATAAATCAGATGTTTTTGGAATATTTGTGAAGTTTTATACTTTCATATCAGTTCAGTTTGGTACTCTTATTAAGTGTTTACAATCAGATGGTAGAGGTGAATTTGTTAGTAATCATTTTGAACAATTTTGGCCTCAAGGGAAGTGTATCATACGATTTCTTGTTTATACACTCCATAACAAAATGAATTTGTTGAAAGAAAGAATAGACATATAGTAGAGACAGCTATCACACTATTGTCAGAGACAAGGTTATCTCTAGGTTTATGGTTTTTCATGCTTGTGCTCATGTTATATATCTCATTAATAGAATGCCTTGTAGATCCTTACAAATGGACTCTCCTTTTTTTTGTTTTATAGAAGAAACCTCCATCATTAGGTCACTGGAAGGTATTTGGTTCTGCAGTCTATCCCTTTTTCAGACTTTACAACAGCAACAAACTTCAGCCTAGATCAGCTTTATCTATATTATTTTGGCTATGCACTGCAGTGGGGTACAAGGGTGTAATCTGTTATCATTTGCAAACCAAAAATTTGTTATTGTCAAGGCATGTAGTTCGTGATGAGACCTTGTTCCCTGCCAAACTTCAAACAATAGACTGGTTCCTCCTTTGATTGTGACATTGCCTCAAGTGTTTCAGCAAGATACAAGTACTCCAGTGATGTCATCCAGCCCAGAAGTAGCTTTATCATTATCCTTGAGATCATTAACACAGGAACCTGAAAGTTCAAATGCTCATTCAAGTGCTACTCCTCCACAACCTCCTTTGTTACCTGTCCTTGATCCAAGTCATCTTCAGGTAATTTTACCTATTGATTCTTTGTCTTCTAGTATTGTGGAATCTTCTCATAATCATGTTATGCAAACAAGGTTGAAGACTGGGTCTATTTATAGGCAAGATTGTTCTGCTTATTTGACTGCATCTTCCTTGCCTAATAATTTTTTTATTGAACCTTCAGAATTATAATCTCTATTTATTACTGACAATGATATCGGTTATTCTGGTTATACATTCTTGACTAATATCACTGATGTGGAGGAACCGAAGACCTTTAGGGCTGCCTAGTTCCTTTGTGGCAACAAGAAATGAAGGAAGAGTTTGATGCTCTAAAAACTCAAGGAACTTGGGTTCTGGTTCCACCTCATGTTGATAGATCAGTTGTAGGAAGTAAATGAGTTTATAAAATAAAGAGAAACTCTGATGGTACAGTTGCAAGGTATAAAACAAGAATGGTAGCTTAGGGTTTTACACGGGAGCAAGGAATTGATTACTCATAAATGGTCTCTCAAACAATTAAACATTAAGAATGCCTTTCTTCATGGAGATTTGCAGAAGGAAGTTTATATGCATCAACCTCAAGGTTTTGTGGATCCTACTGATTCATCATATGATTGTAGATTAGTCAAGTCCTTATATGGTCTTAAGCAGGCCCTTAGAGCATGGCATTCCAAGTTTACAAGAGTACTACCTTCTCTGGGATTCAAAGTTTCCTCTTCTGATGCTAGCTTGTTTGTCAAATTAACATGATGGGGTCAATATGATCTTGTTATTGTATGTGGGTGATATAATCATTAGAGGTTCTGATGCTAATTAGGTTCAATCAATCATTGGTAAACTTGGTGAACTTATTAATTTTAAGGACATGGGTGTTCTTACCTATTTTCATGGGCTTCAAATTAGTATCAATACAATGGAGACTTGTTTGTTAATCAATCTAAGTATACCAAAAAGTTAATTAAAAAGGCAGGTATTGAAAATTGCAAGCCTGCACCAACTCCATCCAAACCTCATTCTCAAATTTGCATCACAGAAGGCATTCCATTGGCTGATCCTACCTTATATAGGAGTCTAATAGGTGCACTTCAGTATATTACATTTACTAGACCTGATATATCACATGCTGACAATGTTGTGTCAATATAAGAGTCAACCTACATAGTCTCATTTTTTTCTCGGTGAAAAGAATTCTCAGATGCCTTCAAGGTTCTTTACGTTGTGGCTTGAGATATAAGCTGTTTCTAGTACTACTCTCTCAACATATGTTGATTCAGACTGGGCTGCACATATAAACACTAGAAGGTCTATAACAGGATATGTTGTATTTTAGGCTCCAATCCTGTCTCATGGCAATCCAAAAAGCAGTCTTCAGTTTCAAGGAGCTCTACTGAAGCCGAGTAGAAGGCATTAACTCATTGTGTAGCTGATGTGTGTTGGTTAAGGAATATCTTGAAAGATTTACATGTAATTGTTCCTTCTCCTCCTCTGTTACATTGTGATAATTTGTCTACTCTTGCTCTCAGTACAAATCTTGTATTTCACTCTCGGATTAAGCACCTCGATATTGACTATCACTTTGTCAGAGAGAAGGTTCAAAAAGGGGATCTTTTGGTTCAATACATAACTACAAAGGAGCAACTGGCAGATTTGTTCACGAAGGGCTACAAAATTCTGATTTTATTAGACATTGCTGCAATCTTAACCTTGGGAACCCACGTTAAGATTGAGGGGAGTAATAACAGATAGGTTGCCACTAGTCACTTGTATGCTGGTTGCTTAACATGTAAGCTGAATGTTAGCTCAGTTGTTAAACTAAGATTGGCAAGCTATAAATAGATTTTGTGTAAAATAGTTTAGGTGGTTAATGAAAAGTTTTAAGTTCTGCAATTCTCTTTTCTTCTTCTTCAAGAACTCAACTAAGATATTTCATTTCTTGTTTCAGAAAACCGTAGATTTCAATATACTTAATAAGCTAGAGGAATATATACTAGTAGCTCTCCACGAAACGCATTTTCTTGACACTCTTAATATGCTATCTTCTCCACTTCATTTTATGAACCCTTCCATGAAAATAATATAGCTTTTATAGTTACAAACATGATTAACAAACAAACGTGCTTTACATGACAACCAACTGGGAACATAAAACAGAAATTTCTGAAGCTAAGTATCTTCAAAACTTCATAGTAACGAAGAGAAACACATTACATATTAAAGCCCGAAACACCAAAGAAAGTAGAAATCGAAGAAAACTTTCAAACCTTTATGTACAAGCGTTGCAAGATTGTACTCCTTTCCCAAATAGGTTAGCATTTAACGACCTGAAAGTTGAGAAATAGATGCAGTGGCATTCGATGTGGAGGAACTAGTAGAGGTTGATGTGTCTCCCCGGACTTTCGTATCAGAATTGATAAATACCGGCCTAGTAAGCGACCTATTTTCCAAAGACCTTGTGCCTGTGAGTAAAACAACGACTTCAGACATTGTTGGCCTCAGAGCAGCTTATGATTGAGTGCACATCAGAGCAATCTGTATGATTTTTTTTCACATCTTCTGGTTTATGATCATTTGGGTCCAGGGTTGCATCGACCAACTCCAAGTGCGAACCATTCTCATACAGTTTCCATGCCTAGCCAGGGATGTAAATTGTGAAAAAAAAAAAAAAAAGGTAAAAAAGTTATTATACAAATGTAAGCATTACAGGATCCATTTCATAATCTCGATGGAATCTGAGAGAAGAAATAATGTAGAGTTTGGAAGTTACCTTTTCAAGTAGAAATTCACCCATAGCATCGGATTTAACTTCACTGCTCCTTTGGCCACTTATGATTTCAAGGACAACCACGCCGTAGCTATAGGTATCCACCTTTTCGGACAACTGGCCATGAATTGCATATTCTGGTGCCGTGTATCGCCTGTCACACAAGATGGAATTGTTAGAGTTGCTCTAGTGTAACGGCCCTACGTAGTAGATTAGTAACATTTCTGTTTATGGACAGAAAACGTGAGTAGGTTAAAAGACCGTTATCAATATCGGTGTTCATTGCAGAAGAATCCCGAATTGGCCTAATGCCAAAGGCGGCAAAATGAGGTTCAGTGATCCCAAACCCTGCAGGGTTCGATGCTTGGTGGGAAGTGACGTAACTTACAATGTTCCTGCAAATCTGGTACTGAGATGAGTCTGATCATCTGGTAAAAGCCTTGCCAGCCCAAAATCTGAAATTCTTGGCTCGAAACTATCATCCAAAAGGATGTTGCTGGTTTTTATATCTCTATGTATGATGCACACATGAAATTCCTCATGTAAATAGGCGAGACCCCTGGCTGTGCCGATGATTCTGTCAGTTCGTTGTTTCCAGTTGAGAGAGCCTTTCTTGGACCTATTTCCCGTAAAAAATTATATCTTTAAATGAACAGCGTAAAATAAAATTCATATATGTTCAGACTAAATATGTGTATGCATATCTATACATGCATTTACGTAACTATCATATATTTAAACCTAGCTGGGCTAAAAGGCCTAAAATTACCAAATAGGAATCTGTCTAGGCTGCTGTTTGCCATGTATTCATATATGAGAAGTAATTCTGGTCCTTTGCTACAACATCCAAGAAGACGAATAAGATTCCGGTGATGAACATTGCTTATAAGCTTGACTTCGTTTAGGAAATTTGCCTTTGCCCTGTCAGATTGAAGTACTACTAGTTTTTTCACTGCAACTATTTTCACATTGTTTAGAGTTCCCTGTCAAAAGATTAGGTAACATTAAGATTAGGTTTTTCGAAGTGTAATTAGAGAATACTCTTTGGAAAACATTCATGCAGAATCAAGGACTAACATTACGATTTTCCCTTTTTATGAAAACTTTATGCATGTTTGTATGCAAGGAGATATGACTGTCTTAGACTATATACTGGACTGGGCATAGTAGCTGTATTATTTGAAGATTTTCCGAGGTCTTTAGCAGAAGATAAACATCGTACAGCTCTTCGCTAAGTATGAAAACAATCTAGTTCGGTATAGCTTACTCCAATGTAGACTAGTACACCTCCACTAGACCGTGCCAAACCAGACGACTAGACGACTAGTCATTATTAATTTCACAAACACAAATATTGACTAAGTTGATATAGGAGCATAATCATGTAGCTGAATTCTGTACTTTGTTATTTATTTTACCTTGTAAATGTCTCCGAAACCTCCTTCTCCTAGTTTGTTTTCTTGACTAAATTTTTTTGTTGCGGACTTCATATCTTTATATTTGTAATTCACTGGTCCTTGCAACTCCGTTGCTCCCAATATGTCAGCTCTATGATCCGCAGCGGACTTTCTTGAGAGTTTAAAATAGAGAAGAATTCCAACAATGAGAAGAAGAATAAGACCTCCACCTCCAACTGCCACTCCAATTATTATGCCTTTGTTTCTTGAATTACCTCCTACAAGTATTGTTTGCATTATCGAGTTTGTTCGATTAAGGAATGAGCGCTGACATGTCATTTGGGGAACAAATTTGACAACCCTAGTAATATTGAAATACATATAGAAAGGGTGTTCTTACCGCCTTTTAAGAAGTGTGCGATGTTCGTAGTCTGGTTATCTGAGAAGAAAGAAGTACTAGAGTACCGCATGAAACAACCTGCGTCAACTGCCCTACCATCGGTATCTGGAAGGCAGCTCTGTAGGTTGTTGTATGCCACATTCAAGCAATCTTGGCAACCGATCTTGCTAATTGTCTCGGCACATTGTGCCACACCGTAGACGGTTGCATTTCCATTACCTCCACTACTAACAACTTCGTTCTTAGTTGCTGCAAAGAAACCGTTGATTTTGGGTGTTGCAATCCGAAGATCAACTAGCAGTGACCCAGCAGCTGCAGTGAATGTAGTGACCTGTGACGCAGTTATATTTCCACAAAGCCCTACATTACCTGGAAGGGTAGTCTGGTCATAGAACCCAGCGCTCTCGTACCTAAACCAAAGCATGTATCAAACTTAAAAAAATCAAAATTTTTATTTTTACTACATATTTGTACCATTGTTTGTATTCCATCTTTATTAGAGAAATGATACAAATGATGCTACAAATATATGGTTCTAAAAAATAATTTGTTTCCATACCAAACAATTGTATAGTCAACATATAAACATTACAACATAGTATCGTTCCTCCTAGACACCATGGTTCAAAAAAATGGTGATCACCCACCATTCGATCTTAATTCAACGTTGGAGAAAAATACAATAATAGAAGTCAACTGACCACCTACCTTTAGGTTAAGATCAAACATTAGTCACCACCATTTCCTTGGACCATGGGGTCTGGGAGAACAAGATTGTGAGACAAGTGTATGTGGCACTTTAAACCCTTCGGTCTTATTTGCATATAAGATTTGATTAGGAGAGATACTATCAAGGATCCTCTCTTGATCCTCTTTGTGGAAATTTGGGGAACCAATCAATCTTGTTCATTCATCGTATATTGTGTGATTAGTTTTCGTTAGGTACTATTTATATTCAATTTAAAATTTAAAATGATTTCTAACCGCACGATGTATGATGAGCATACACGATTGATTGATCTTCCGGATCCTCACAAAGAGAATCTGGAGAGGATCCTTGTTCTTTTAAGATAGGGTAAATCGCTAAAATGGTAATTGAGATTTGCATAACTCATCACTTTGGTCCCTGAGATTCCAAATCGATAAAAGTGGTCCCTGAGATTGTCTACCATCCATCATTTTAGTCATTCCGTTAAAAACTCCGTTAAATGTCCCGGAGCTCTTGGCCGGAAGTTTGGGCAATTTTCAAAGCTTCGTAACTCAATCGTTTCTTAACCAAATTCGACCCATAATATATAAAAATGAAGATAGGAAAGTGTAGAATAAGATTATACTTATTTTGAAGCCCAATGGTTGCCGGAGAATGCTGAAAAATAGCCTCAAAGTTGACTGGTTCAAGTGAAAACTTGAAAACTCGCCGGAAACTGGTAAACTTTAAATATTCATAACTTCTTCAATACTCAACGAAATCAAGTCATTCAGAAACGAAAATCATAGAACAGAAATTCCTGAAGCTATGTTTGTTAGAGGTAGATCATCAGAGACGAGATATTTCTCTAGTAAGAAAAAATCACTTTCTCGACCTAGAGGAACTTCTAAAGGTAGAAAAAATTTGGAAAGGGATGAATGTGATTTTTGTCATAATAAAGGCCATTGGAAGAAAATTGTCCTTGGTTGAAGACCAAAGGCAAAATGAGTTCTAAAGCTAATGTTGCTGAGCTTGAAAATGATTTTTATGATTTTGCTTTAACCATTTCCATATCATTTGATTGTGCTACTAAGTGGGTGTTGGATACGGGTTGTACTCATCATATGACTCCTCACAAGGATTGGTTTTCAAGCTTGAAAAAGTTTGATGGTGGTGTTGTTTTCATGGGAGATGACAATCCTTGTACAACAAAAGGGATCGATACCATTTGTTTGAAGAGCATGATGGTATGGTTAAAGAGTTGACAGGTGTTCGGTATGTACCGAATTTGAAGAAAAATCTTATTTCTTTGGGGACTTAAGAATCCAAGGGCTTCATGTTTCATTCAGATGGGCAGCCATTGAAAGTTACTTATGGTGCACTTGTTGTGATGAAAGCTCCTCGATTGTATCTATTGCAAGGAAGCACTGTGACAGGTGAAGCATCTGTAGTCTTAGAAAATATGGGGACATCTGATTCAGATACTACTAGACTGTGGCATATGAGATTAGGCCATGCTACTGAGAGAGCTATACAAGGGCTTGTGAAACAAGGTCTTCTAAAAGGTGCCACGACTTGTAAGCTTGATTTCTGCTAGCATTGTGTCTTGGGGAAGCAAACTAGAATGAAGTTTGGTACTGT